TATTTCATTAATTAATTATTATTATTAATAATTATTATTAATATTAATTATTATTAATTAATTATATATTAATTTTTTATTTTAAATTAGTTACAATAGTTATTAATAACTATTGTAACTATAGTGAAAAAATAGGGTGGTTTGCATTAATATTAGACATAACTGGTTGAAGACTGTACCACCTCAGTCAACCGTGACCATGGGACCTGTAAAGGGCCCGAAACGTCGGTTTGTTTGAAAAAACAAATATACGCGATTTAAATCCGGAAAAATAGTTTCATTTCCTATGTGTAACAATCGCGAAAACCTAAGAACTCGATACATATTTATATACCTAATATCGTAGGAAGTCTATTAAATGTCATTTCTTTTGCGATTAAAATACTTGGGTGCTTATTTAATTAATAACTTCGATCAGCAACGTTTTATGTGGTATAATATAGATACATAAGTTATACTCAATAATACATAAGCAGTAGCTGATATCATCATCTACTCTAAAGGCTGCTAACAGATTGAATGCATGTTTGCAGTCGTAATCAACTTCATGCAGCCGAGACACGACTGCAAGAAGTTGATAAAGACTTCACGCATTAACTGCTTGCAGTCGATCTCGGCTGCATGAAGTCGGTATCAACTTCATGGAGGGTCTCCTCTAACAACAGGATTTAGGACATATGTGGAGTGAATATAGCGCAATTTGGTTTGGACACTTCACACGTTTACCAAGGGTTGGGAATCTTCCTTGACATGCTGGTATCATCACAATGTTTCCCTACACCGTTACCGAGACCAATTGCTACTAAATATTCAAAAAAATTGTACGTTATTTTGAAATGAAAGTTTATTTTATTTAACAAGGTACATCCACAGAATACGTTTTGTAGCAGTAGAAAGTTTATTTTATTTAACAAGGAACATCCACAGAAAACGTTTTGTAGCAGTAGAGCTCCTTGTGAAAGAGTTCGTTCAGGGAAGTACTGCCACCTTACCTATTTCTACCACCAAGCATTAATGTGAGCATTACTGCGTTCTGGTTTTGCAAGGTAAGGGTGCTGGTGAAATTACAGGTACATGCGACTTATCAACTTGTCTCAGGGTGACGGGCGCAGTGGCAGTGCCCTCAGATCTTCGTGTTTTGAGACTCTGAGTGGCACTGCAACTGTTATGGTCAGCCGTCCTTTACCATCAGGCGCACGACTTGATCGTCCCGTCACTTGGTATCATTAAAAAAAATACGTATTACACTTTCTTACAAACTTAAATAATTATTTTAATTTCTAATACATATTCCATTAAGGAGTAGGTACACAACATTCATAAATTATTTGTCACATTAGTTACATACACAAAGTTATAGGTGAATGCCGCTACAGGGAGTCAATTCGTAGACCTCTCAACTGAGAAGTAACCTTTTTCCCATTGGGCTACCAACTCTCGCAAATTTAAACTAAACTAAACTATAACAAAAATGCGAATCCGATCGGATCGAAGGAATTTTTTCTAAGTGTTCGATCTTTGTATTAATAATTATAACAAACTAGGGGAGTAATTTCACAAAAACTAATTGAATATCAATTCAATACAAATTTAATTTATAACAAAAATAGCAAATTTTGTTTCTTTCACAATTATGTTCATTTTGTAAATCTAAATTGTAACTACAACTTACTTTTTTAAGAGTAGGTACATTTATTGTTAATTTGACGCTACTAAATATTTTTTTTGTTTTGTATTCAGATATCGAGTAATACTCGATGTATTCAGATAAAAGAAATGGTTACGTTAGTCTTGAATTTTTTTTGCTATGGATTAAAAAAGGTCGGACGTAGTATTTTTCATCATCTATATTATAACTTTAGATTCAAATGAAACGTGGTTGCACAATGTCAAACAAATATAACAGGGATGTTGTATTATACTTTCGTGGAGACAGACAGAAACGATATAAGTAAATATTTGGGGAAGAGGCAACTGAAAGTCAAGTAAAAAGTTATGTTGTGTAAATTAAATATTTACACAATATCAGCAGAGTACTAAAAATACCGACCTCAAAAGTTCGTGGAATTACATCTATTTGCCAAGTTTTATTGATATCGGTTACCCGAAAGTGCGCGAAACCAGGATACATCCCATCCCTAGTTTTTCACCTAAGAAGTGGAATATTTTCTTCAAATTTAAATGAGAGCAATGCTGAGGTACGCTCTTTCCAACAAAAAAAGAACCATCAAAATCGGTTCACGAACATACATACAATACGTAACATACAGAAAAAAAATACAGTCGAATTGAGGACCTCCTCTTTTTTAGAAATCGGTTAAAAATGTAAGTAAAGTAATGACGAATGACACGTGATTTGTTATATTACAAAATCCATCATAATAACAAGTATGTTTGCGTACAAAATGGGAAGAAATAATTTATATTGCTGCCAAATATAATATCGAGTAAACATTTGACATTAACCATTAGCTTCCGTCGTCGGAGCACGATAATTAATCGTTGTCACATTTGGGGCACTTATTATCAAGTGGTCCACTTACCTCGGTCCCGGGATCGGAGGCTGCGGGCGAAGCGTAGTCGAGACCGCGCGGAGTAGCGTCAGTCACAAGCTTCGCACAGCGACTGCCGCGTCGGCCAACCCACCAGAGGGCGCACACACGCACACATCTCTCTACAATCGATCCACCCCTGCTCCTGACCCCTACACTCCACCTAGACCTTATTACCCAGTACCCAGAAAATATATTTCGCAATCCCGGCGCCATTTAATACTATGCCGCTCTTTGCTGACGTAGAGCTCTGTAATGATGATTGCTGAGCTTTATGCTCGCGATACTACAGTGTAAAATCGGGCGACAGCCAGCTACCCTCGAATTATCTCATAATTGGAAGCGTCATATTTGGTCTCGTATTTCGCTATGTCATAACAGGGTTGATATCAATATTGTACACATGTGAAATTCGAGCCAACAGCGGAGGTGAGCTCTCGAATGCTAATGAGATTTGATTGACGGGCTATCCAGCGCCACTCAGTTGAAAGTTTTCACCATATCGTCCTCTTACCAATCGATTATGTAATTAATATTATTTATAAAACAAAGAAAAGTGTAACAAACAATATAACTTTATTTCATATAAGAAATGATAATTCCTAAGATCACAACATACATGACATTTTGCTATATTAACTTCAAAATTATTACTCAAATACAATACATATTAATTGACATATACATATTTGGATTTCCATCAATATTCATTAATATACATTATTTAAATGTAATATAAAATATGATATGTTCGGTCACATTATAAAATATTCTCTCATTCGCAACAATTCATTATTTCTACAAAACCCATATACTTAGTACACAAATTATTGCAGAATATAATTAATAACAATTAAATAATAAATAATATTCCATGCGTTCTATAAAAAAATCACAAAAATGTCGAGATATTAACTAGGAAGACCAAACAAATTATTATTTGAGGAAACAGACAATGGCAAAGCATTACAAAAATATTATTAGTAAATGACGTTTCTAAAATATAAATAAATTCATGGAAGTTTCGTCTATAAATGGGTAATAATTGCTAATAAATAATTTTATTATACATACATTTTGTTTAATTTATTTGTCGTACGAGTTCTGGCGGACTTTGAATACTTTTAGTAATTACAAAACACACATTGTTAGTAAAGTAGACAACTTCGCTGGTAAGTAGATACTTAAAATTCTAAGACTAAACTATATATCACTTAATTGATAAAAGTGATAATATCTAAAAATGTGTTTCTTTTGTACTTCTACATACTGTATAAAATTTCATTATTGGTAGAATATATTGGGCGCTATATCTAAAACAGGAACAAAACATTTTAATTAAGATATTTTCGGAAGAAGCATCTCGTGATATATAAGAACTGTGATTTATTAAAGTAACTTATAACGAATATTATGAGTTATCTTATTTAACTTTTGGACTATATTTGTACACGTCGGTGATAAATGACTTCTCGATAGCATACATTTAATAAAAACTCACTATCACAAGTAATACTTAAGAGAATTTTTAAGTTATATATTTCTAAAGCAATTGGCATATTTCTACCTATCTTAATTCTCAACGACATGATAAAATTTGTATTTGTTAATAGTTGTAGTTTAGTTTTTACTTAGATACTTGAAACAGATACTAAAATTGCTTAGTGGAGTAAGGGACCTTTTGACCCTGAAATGGTGTTTTTTTTGACATCAACATGACAAAATATATCAATAAGTCAAACTAATGGCGCATTTACATTAGGTCGGCAGGTCGCCTTCGTTTGCCTACCATCTGCCTTTGGGCAGCAACCTGCCCAGTGGAAAAACTGAGTTTGTGACCGTAGTTCTCTCTCTCTCTGAAGTCGGCCGAGTCGACTACCTAGTCGACTCGGTCGACAGAGTCACCAGTGTTTACACCTGTAAACACTGTCTGGTGACTCTGTCGCCTTCAGAGAGCGACGGTCAACCAAACAAGTTTTATCGTGTCGGCAGCTGCATTCAATCACAATGCACGTAGCTCGGTCCCCACCGAGGAAAACCTACTTGCCCGATCAATTTGTTGAATGTTTCGATTTGTTTTGTCTCTACGCATAAACTTGCAATTTTGGCTTGATGACTGCGACGAACGCGGCATGCGACTCGATGTAAACAGCGCGTCGATTGGCCGCGTTCATCAGCTGACAAGCGAAAGCTTGTCAAAGAGACGGCAATCGACTCGGTGTAAACAAAAAGCCCATTGACTTATATGAAAAAGTCAGTCGATTGCGCTTTCTTAGGCAAAGCGAAGTAGTCTGTCGAAGGCGACAATTGACCTTGTGTAAACATGACATAATTCGTAGAAAGTCCTCAATATGGCGAAGGTTTAAATTCTTAAAATTCGTAAAAGGAACTTCAGTTCCATCCTGTATATTTAAGTCATATAATGTTTTTGTAAATTTAAATTGTAATAAAGGATCTTTGGTTGATACTGACTGATACACAGGTACCAAAGATAATAAACCATTTAAAAACATAAGTTGGCAGTTGTTCTCTCATATAAATACCTGCTTGCGAGTCGTAACGTCTTATTAATAAATAAATAAGGTACTTTCCGATCATGGTATTTAACGAGAACCTATTTTTGTATAACTATGACACGCACATTCTTGTCCTAGGCATACCATAAGTCTTTTAGAAACATTTTATTCCAAAACATATGATTGGTAGTGACCATGCCACGCCAAGGATTATTGTAGCAAAATTGTACAGGTATGTTAACTTGAATACTATAAAATTTTAATGCTCAATTGTCTCTCCTAATTTCTTAGTACAAAAATGTTGGCGTAGTCTACTTACGCCAACACGCGTAATTTTATGATAATCGTTGTTCCGAATGTTTGTAATATCAAAATATTACACTATATTTTGTATCCATGCATTAAAATAGACAATAAATTATTCAAAATTGGTTTGTTAATATTTTGGTCAATAATAATGAGAAAAATTTACAAATATATTGCTAAATTCCCTAACACTTAGAAAGCTAGCACAGGCCCTTAAATCTAGTTTCTACGACTAGACGGTAAAGGGAAGCAGCCAAACACAGTTTGAGTTTCATTAAAACAATTGCAAACCGTTATTCGGACTATGCTTCATCTATAAAAAGCCTTATCACTAATAAATTATCAAACAGTTCTAGTCAAATCGACAACTGAACAAACGAACCTCGATGTTCTTCAAAAATTTAGGCACAAACCTATAGCACCGTAATCTACGGAATCTCGCGCCAGAAAAATAAAAAATATCTATCTTGTTTATTTTAATTATTGCACATGTTATATGTACATCGAAAAGTTTGACTCGATATCAAAGGAACTTACAAAAATCACACGCGTCCAGTTAGTTACTGTTTATTTTTCTGGACAAGTTGCGAACAACTATTTCACCGGAACTATCAGTGCCTAGTGTAAAATTGGCACATTTCTAAATTATTATTATGTACTTTAAGATATTCTACAGCACACAGCCTTTTCAATTTGTGTAAAAAAATTTCGTCATAAAATGTTGGGAAGGCATAGGAATGTTAGCGAAACGGGTGCGCAGGCGGTGGCGCAGAAAGCGCGGGCGCCGCGCGCTAACCGCGGAGGGCTGGGCGAGTGCTATAAGTCTGTCTCCGTCCACTGCTAGTCGCCGCGACGCATCCGCCGCGCCGCTGCAGTGTTGTGGCGGTACAGCCACACCTGAAAACGCATAATTCGCATTCTTAGTGTAATTAGGCCACATTTCCAAAATTACAACATTTAAGGGCCCCAAGTCTGCTAATTTTAAATCATCTTAGTGTGTGTAGATAGACTGTCATGGCAGTATTCTGTATGTTTGGTATTCTGCTAAAAGTTCAGAGTAGCAGTAATCTAGAGAATCTCTCTAGATTGAAAGGAGAAGCCGGGAATGCGAGTTTGTGCAAATCATTACTTTACAAAATCCAAAGTTAAAGGAAATATAAACGTGACGTGAGACTTATCATTGGGTTCCCGTTGAACAAACACCACCCTAATTTTAGATAAATACTCGCTAAAATATGACTTGTGATTTTCTTATATAATACAGCGTGTTTTTAAAAGTTTAAATAATTATGTGTTAAGGTAACTATTTCATAATATTAATAAAGTAAACACAAAAGTAATGTAAAAATTTAAGGATAATTATGGGAAATTATTTAGTTACTGTAGATTTTTAAATGTATTTCACAAAGCTAAAATGCTGTCAGTGGCTAGGCATCGATCGAGCTACTATTCAGCTGCCATTGCAATTTTGTGGTATTCTACTGTTCAATGGCGAGTCGAAGGCACGTCGATGGCGTAGTCTACTAATTTAACGTAAAAGTATTTGACGTAAACAAAGTACATTTAATTTGAAGAGTAAATAACTGATTATGTAAGATACAAATTTATAGTGCATGGTAATTTCCATGATAATAAATATAAAGATAAAGATGCTTTAAATTTATTTATAAGACAACATTGATTCTTCGCGATTGAATTAATGAATGCCATCACTGTCATTACTCTGACATCTTTGAAGCTCAACTGCCATTGCAACTAGAGACTTTAACTGCCTCCGTGGCCGAATGGTTACCATGCCGGACTGCCACGCAGAGGTCCCAGGTTCGATTCCCGGGCCGAGAGAAATAGTTGTATGGCCTACAATTATTTCTCTCGTGAGTTTGGGTGTAATTTGTGGTTGTCTATATGTGTGTCCATGGCACCCGCGACACAGGGTTTCCCTAGTGCGGGGCTATGTTGAGTGTGTGCGTTATTTATTATTTTAGCAGAACAACAAATATCATAATTGGACGTAGTAAGCAAAAAAGGATCCAATACACAAAATTATCAAAAAATGAGTTATATGTATCAAACGGTTCCTAAAGTCTAACCTCTGAGATCAGCAAAAAAATACAACATATAAACATAAATTAATATCTCTGGAGTTACATGACATTATAAGTTTTGAAAATGAAACAGGAGTGAGAAACGCTTTTCAACTTCAAACTGCCATATCTCGAAAGTGACTGGATGTACATTGGATCCTTTTTGTTTAACTACGTCCAATTGCAATATCATCTCAGTGGAGTCTTAATAGATATTTGTATAATGCAGACTTGGGGCACAGACGAGAGGTTTAAAAGATTCTACAAAAGAAATTTAACGTTCACTTTCTATGTATGAATAGAAGAGTCATAAAATTTCACATACACATAGTTTCTTTCATGCAGTTCATATTATTTTATGATGTTCATGTGATAAAAGTACTTGAATGAATGAATTAAAAGTACTTTTGACCTATGATCACATGTGGCTGTATTATACTAGTAATGGTACGATTTATAACGGGATAATATTATTCCTTTATTCCGATTAGACCTATCGTAAATGTGCAACTTTTTAACAAAAACGATATTTTTTTAAATATTTGTTATATATATAAATTGTTCCGTTTATATTATTTGATCTAAAGATTAATAATGAATGAACAGCATTCAAGGTAACGCTATCCTTATGTTTAAGTATACTTAATTATTTTAAATAATTTGGTACTCAAAAATAATATTTGATCCTCTTTTTTTATTATTGGTCTTTTCTTTAAACGATTGATGACATTTATAACCAGTATACCTTTTGATATTGGTCTTCTAATAAATCTTGGTTGCTTGGTTGCGCCCTCTATTCCGTAGGTTAAGTTAGTATATGAAAAAGTAGCACGAGCCGAGCGAGCGAAACGAGCCGAGCGAGCGAAAGGAGCCAAGCGAGCGAAGCGAGTGTGCCTCGGCAACGGCCGGCAAGTGCCAGACGCCAATTTGCTTGCGTTTCCGAACATGTTTTCAGGTCAAATTAAATTATAATTAGTATAATTTTAGTATGCAAATATAATCAACACTTAGTTTTAAAAATAAGCATCTAAATTTTATTTTTAATGCACATTTGTCTTAGTCTTAAGGTCCGACATAAAACGAGCAGTTATTTTTTACAAATCAAAAATTTTTTTGTAGGTCAGAACAGATTAAAATATCCATTGATTTAATTTAACTTATGTCCCAGAGAAAAAGGATCATTCACTAAAAAAGATGACCATTTAGTGTTTTTTTTCCAAATTTAAAATGATCATTTAAATACATATCATTTATAATGGACGTATTTCCAATAGAGATAACTACGTGTGGCGCACTAACAGTTTCCGGAATGAATGAGAAAAAAAATACTACAAATGGTCAGAAATGAATTCATTGTTTCTTAAAATATTCTCCGTTATCGTCAATGCAATTTTTCATAAGAATGAACCAATTTTAACATTTATGCCACTTCTCCGTGACAATCTCTGAAATATATTTTAATATTCTTCGACAGCCTCTCCAGGTGATGAAAATCGTTGACCGCGTAACTGGTTCTTAATTTTTGGAAATAAATAAAAGTCACAAGGTTGGGACAGTACGCGTGATGGCTCATAAGGTCAACGTTGTTCACCTTCAAAAATTCATTTGTCTGTCTGGCCGTGTGAGAACTGGCATTATCGTGGTGCAAGATGATACGGCGTTTACGGTTATTTTTACGGAGTTTGTCAATAACTTCCGACAAACAAATGGTCGCGTACCAATCACTATTCACGGTACAACGATTCTCCAAAGCAACAGCAGCCACGTGTCCAGTTTTTTTTTTTAAAAAAAAGAAGCAATCATCCGCTTAGAGGCACTTTGCACGTGCGCCACTTTGGTTGGTTTCGGCTCATCTCGAAAGACCCATACGTTCGATTGCTGCTTTGTCTTGGGATCGTAACTATAAATCCATGTTTCGTCACCTGTTACTATGTCCCACACCAAATTTGACGCCCCTTCGTTGAATCTGGTAAGCACGGCATTGCACCATGTGACGCGATCCGTTTTTTGAGCCTCAGTCAAATTGTGTGGGATACACCGAGAGCACAGCTTTTTCACACCAAATTTTTGTGCAGTATTGATTGTATTTGACTCATGCCTATGCCTAAAGATGCCCGAATCTCATGGTATGTCACATGCCTATCTGTTTTGATCAAACGGTGCACAACATCAATGTTTTTGTTGTTCACAGCAGTGGACGGGCGACCATCACGAAATTCGTCACTGAGATTCACACGACCGCGTTTGAATTCTGCAAACCAGCTATAAATATTCGTCTTGTATGGCGCTTCATCGCCAAAAGCAGTTTAAAGCCGAGCGAAGCTCCGCTGAGCTGTTCAATTACACTTAGAGTCGTAAATAATCATACTACGACAATTTTCACGAGTTAAATTCATGGTGATGTAAACAACCAATTTCTAAAATGATGCCACAATATAAAAACAAGTGACAGTCAGATGAAACAAACTGTATTCTACAGACAAAGAGTTCCATTTTCAAATGTTGTAATTACTTTTTAAACATTGTTTATGTAAGTGGCCAGTTCCGGAAACTTATAGTGCGCCCTATGTATTAAAATTATTATTATGTTGCTGAATAAAAGATACATTATTAACTATCATAATAAACAGAATTATATATATATATATCATATTGTATGAGTATAAACATGTGTAACGTAAGCAAGCTGATGCTATGAATTGTAAATATATGTGCATGAATGTAAGTTAAAATTTCCACAAACATCTATACTAACTTGGATGAGAATCACAATATCTAGAGTGACTTGCATACTGCCGCACACCCAAAACTGTGTAGGTGCTTCTCTCAAAACAAAGTATGCAGTTTTGAACACATCGCCACACGTCCACATCACAACCATGCTCAAACTGAAAAAGAAAAATGTTATATTCCATAAATAAAGCAGCCAGTGATTACTGTGTAAAAACACATACAGTATAATAAACCTAACTCAGTATCAAGTACATTAAGTAATACTAATAAGTATTCTTGGAATTGATTAGTCTCAATAAAAAAAAATAACATTAATATAAACAAATCTGTTCACTTGAATTTTGATGACCTCAGTGGCCTAACAGTTTACATTGTGGGCGCACGATGGATGCGGAGGTCCCGGGTTTGATTTCCAGTAGGATCAATTTAGGAAATGCACTTTCTAAATTGGTTCTGGTCAGGGTGTTCTGGGAAGTGTCCCAGAATTCCGTTGTTCTGGTGCTCATAGTACAGGGAATGGGAATTCCCTATACAAGTTTGAATCCAGGCAATTGGTGAGGTTGTCTGGTATATATTATTCACATATTATTATACTTTATTTGCAAGTATACATGACAAACAAGAGTGTGGATAGACTTTAGAATTCCGGTTTCGTTAATGGTAAGACAGCATTAGAAATTTAGATTACTATATTTAGTATATTTTGTTTTTGAGCACTAATATAATACTATATTAGTGCTCAAATAATAAACAAGATGTCTAGATACAGATAACTATTTACTTAGTTAAGGCATCACTACTAAAGTATTAGTTTTCCTTATATTAAATTGTATGTCTAATAATTAAGGTTTTGTTCGTATTCGTTTATTTTTATTAATACTGTCAAAGTTTTGTTAACTTTTAACTTTACTTATATTTAGTTTACATTGCAATATAATACACGATTTTTTTGACGATCTTCGTGGTCGAGTGATCAGCACACCGCTTGTCATGGTGTCGCCATCTCTGAGGTGCCGGGCTCGATATCCGGCCGAGTCAATGTAGAAAACTAACTTTTTTATATTCTCTCGGGTTTGGGTGTTTAGTGGTACCGTCATTGTTTCCGATTTCTATAACACAAGTTCTTTAGTTACTTACTTTGGGATTGGAGCAACGTATGTGATATTGTCTAATATTTACTTATTTATTAATTATGAAATTTATTTTTATCTTTCAATTTATTTGTCAATATATGTGTTTTTCACATGTCTCATGATAGATAACTTATATGTTTCTCACCTCATTCCTTCTGTACTTTTATTCTGATGATTCTTGGCTATCTGAGGCGCGCCAAGCATTGCCTCTGTGAAGACAGCAAGGAAACCAATGAGCTCGACAAAAGGCGCGAACTCTATCATCAAGTACATGATAGCCGCGCCAATCACAGAGAACACCAGCATACAGTCTACATAGCTCTGGAAGTCCGTCCACGCCCAGAAATACTTCCTTTCCATATCTATGAACAAAGGAAATAATTTATATGTATAATGTACCTATATTCAATAGTATGTTAATCACTTTGAAAATTATTATAGTTGCTTTGAATTACTTTTACACTACACAATAGTACAACAGTAATTTAAAGCAATAGAAAATTAATTATAATAATGAAATTAGTCATGTCGTATAAGGAGGTCAAGGAGCTGGCTTATAAAAGAAATGACTGGAAGATGCTCCATAACTGTTAAGTTTGATGATGATGAATGGAGTTAGGCCAGAAGTATGATGACGTTGTTGTGAATATTTAATTTCATAACATTAATGATTAGCTATTTCTTAAATATACAAGTAAAGCACAAGAAATGCCCCACAAAGAAAAAATATAAGAATGAAAATAAGAAAACCAGTTTATGATTATAAATAAATTATGAATACTACACATTCTCAAACAACTTTTATCATTAAGTTAGAAATCTTGTGCCAAAGGCAAATGACAACATACAGATAAGAATTCTGACATATAAATATATTTGACCCAGAGTGTGGTCTGACCAGAAATGAGATAAAACACATCCAACCCTTCAATTAAAGTTTAATAACATTATAGTTGATTATCAGAGATGAATGAACTCCAAGACATACACTTGTAACAACTGAAACAAGTAACTATTATTATCTCGTATTATGTATTCTATGATATGATCATAATTATTCTTTAAGTTGCACCATTCCCAGAAACATATAAACATACATGCACTAACTGAAGACAATATTAACTCATTACAATAATTCACATGCCACAAAAACCTAAAAATGAACACACAGCAATAAAAAAAAATTAATAAACATGAACGCAGAAGACCACTGACAGCTGAAACAAAACATGAAGATGACTAAATAAACCATGAAATTAAAGTGAACACCCACATTCAGCACCGTTGCTAGTTATGCTGACTCACCATAGAAGCGGTGGGGGTGTTCTCCAGCATTGATGCCACTGCGCTGATCCATCCAATGAGCAGCTTCATCAGGTTGGGCTGATCCGTTCAGACAACACAATAGTATATAGAACATGAATATCGCACCTAATGTCACCCATTACACCAACCACCAAACAAAACAAAATCATGGTTAACAAAAACCAATTAGTACTAAATCATGCCGAAAGTTAAAAGAAATAATATTAATAATAACTAATAGTAGATAGTATATAAAAAAAAAACAATAAATAATTAAGCATAGAAAAATAACTTAAAATCATTGCGATAAAATTACCATGATACTAATAATAATTAAAACTATAAGATATAACAAATAATAAACTTACATAGCTGTAACAAATTAATGTTATTATACACATGTACCATGATCGTGTTTTACATAAACACGTTTTGAAGTAGTGTTTGACAAAAATATATAATAATTTTTAAAGACACCTATTCCATCTCTTAAAATACAAAGAATACTGTAAAAGATACATACCTGTGAATATTCGCTCCCTAGTTCTAATAATTTGATTCGTTTTGCGAACAGTGACACAGAGGTGGATCATCACAAACATTGTTATGTTCATCACAATGCTTTGAACCAACAGAGGCAATTCATAACGTTTACCAAACCTGGAAACATGGAATATTTCTTTCTGTATATTTTTGTATTGTGGTGTTGTAATAAATTAAGTCTATTCTAAATAAAACTAACATTAAGTATTATTTCCTTTGGGATGTAATATGGGATAGTACAAAAAAATGTTATTTAATTGTTGGTAAAGTATTGATAAAAATATATATTTAGGAAACAAAAATCAAAAGATTAGTTAGGCCTGAATCACAAAGAGCCAATCTAATACATACCAAAATAATATTCTCAATGTATTTGCTATAAGCAAGGCCAAGCAGACATACAATGAGAATCCCTCTGCATCTTGTGTCCTTTTAATTTGCCTGTACTGCGGGATGTAGGGAGCCACTCCCCCCACAATCATTGCCCCAGCTGCAGCCCAGCCCACTAGATGTCCCACAGTCAAGCCCAGCTCATCAGAAATAATCCAATCCATTCTTAAAGGAGTAGATTTCAGATTTGATCCTCACAAGGCCCAATAAAGAACAATGAAGCCACTACGCGCGTGGTATAGCACTCTTATCGCAACTATCTCTAGCCACATATTTACAATAAGGTTAACCATACATAGGCTCCTTACGTATTAACTATTTTATCAAAGATAAATTGAATGGAAGTAACACCACTTCGAATATCGATCAATACATAAAACGTCATTGTCATCTTATTCCAGTCTTATTCACGTCATGGTATGTCACTGTCATATTATGACACTGAGATATTAAAACCTATATACTAAATCTATGATTAAAACTAATTATGAGTTGTTTATTTGTTGAGCATTGGCTATAGAGCCATCAGCTTAATCAAGCAACAAAGGATTAAAGAAAAATAAAACGTTAATTTGTGAAAAAACTGTAACTACAAAAAAAAAAACCTACATTAAAAGTCACATTATGACGCTGTCGTTGCGCTGCTGCTTAGAGGATGGAAAATAGTCTAAGCGCTGCTGCTTTGAGAAATTGCGAAATGGAAATAATATCAATGGAAATAATACACTGTGCAGTGTGCACTGCTAGTAGTGTTGGGCACAGACTGTGGAAAAGAATAATGGCAAACTCCCATTAAAATTTTTGTTGACATGATTTGTATGCGTCTGTTTACGAAAAATATGTGAAAATATAGAATTGAGATTCATGAACAAATTTTGTTTTGGGTTTACTATTCTGAGAAGTCTGGAATTAAAGATATTCCAGTTTTGGGAGTTATTACGTGTCATTATTAAATTACATCAAAATATACCACAGAGTTAATAGAATATAACGCACACACTCAATATAGTCCGCACTAGGGACACCCTGTGTAGCGGGTGCCATGGACACACATAGACAACCACAAATTACACCCAAACTCACGAGAGAAATAAATGTAGGCCATACAAATATTTCTCTCGGCCCGGGAATCGAACCTGGGACCTCTGCGCGGTAGTCGGGCATGGTAACCGTTCGGCCACAGAGGCAGTTTCAGAAGCTGAATGGTGCCGTGGATTTGTAACGTGACGAAAGATCAGAAATTATTTTTTATATGGTAGGATCAAAAGGGACACAAATTATTTTTTTGTGAAACATACAGGGTCAAGAGCAGGTTAAGCTTAACATTTAAGATTTAAATCCAACAGTGTGTCGCTTACGATAAGAACGGTCCCAAGTACAAAGTGTCAAGCTTTCCTGATTTCGGGAACTTCTTTGTCAGGTTTACCAATTTCTCGCGTGGCATTTTGGAGAAGGAATTATCTACTTTATTTTTTGTAATGCAGTAGTCCTCCTATTACAAATCGGTTGAATCAGTACATTTGATATTCATATCTGATGATAATCCATAAGTGTAGGTACTGAATTTCTTTTTTTGGAGGCTAGATGTCGTTCAACGTTAAGAAACTAAGGGTCGTATTCTAGAACTCTACTCAATGCTCAAGTCAGGATTGCAATGGAAACACAAGCACTGGAAATACGAGCCTAATGGAAGGGACTTGAGTTTGATTTCGAGTGCTTTAAACCATACTCAAATCGTGACTTGAGCATTGAGTAGAGTTCTAGAATACGACCCTCAGGGTCGTATTTCAGAACTCTACTCAATGCTCAAGTCAGGACTTGAGTATGATTTAAAGCACTAAAAATCATACTCAAGTCCTTGCCATTAGAGTCGTATTTCCAGTGCTTGAAATCATACTCAAGTCTGCTCAAGTCAGGATCTGAGTATGATTTCAATCAGTGGAAATACGACCCTAATGGCAGGGACTTGAGTATGCTTTCGAGTGTTTCAACCCGTACTCAAATCCTGACTTGAGCATTGAGTTGAGTTTTAGAATACGACCTTGAGACTATTAGACGGAAACTAAAGAACATGTTACGTTGACATATATAAATCAGACGTTATATGTATGTGTATGATGCATTTCGACGTCGAAAACATAAACATGTTATTGTCTTTGTTTAACTATTACGTGCCGTGAATTAAGTTAGTTGCAGGCGGAAGTTGCAAAAAAAATCAATTTATTTAATTAATTTTAATAAAGAAAAATTACAATTTAAACTACAACTAAAATGTATGATAGGTGACCGAAGTTAGATCAAGAATGAATTGATATTTGATGCGCCGGGCCGCCTTCCTTTCCTTTGACGTCAATGCCGACACGTTGAATTGGAAGCACGGGGCTGACGCTGCACTGTTGCCTCGTGCCGCACTATTGTATTGGGGTCGAAGCTTATTCGGCGATTCCCTTATGTTGGCCTCGCGTAACACCTCCCGCCGAAGAACAGCGACTATTGAAGACGTTGGTCGTAAATTGAGCTGGGGGTTTGTGAGGGTTCTGGTAGAGCATAGACTGGTTGCTTTTTTTCATTGGAGTTCACCGGTGAAGTCTTCGATTGTTTCAAATAGTACTTGCGGTAGTATATGCCACTAACACATGCACTCAGTATGATTATGTACAATGGGATAGTGGTATGGTAGAGGCCATTATCCGCGTCCTCTTTGAACTGTACTGGTTGCTGCTGGGAGATTTTTGTATTGATTTTCTAGATTTATGGAGTGCAAATTCAGTGCTGGTGGGGAAGATGGGATGATAGCGGTGTCATTAGGCAAATCCATTATTTTTAGTGCTTTTCCTCTCAACCGATCGTTGGTATTGGATATTGTGAAGTGCGGCGTCTCTAGATAGCACTGTTGCGGGATTATAGCAAGATAACTTCCTTGTAGAATTCTATATAAATGTTGCCCACAGGAGAGATGAACTTTTGTTGGAGTAGGGAAGCTGATGGTGTAGTGTTTCTCATCTAGTTCTTCGTATGCTGGTTTGTCCAGTATTACTGAAGCAGGGCGGCAGTTGATGTTCTGTTGCTGCGTGATAAGCTGCTGGATACAATCCTCTGTTGTCTGATTCGGCAGGCTACGCGTTTCCTCACATAAATACCATTTACTGGTCTTCGGGCATTCAGCCTCTATGTACCTGAAGTCTTTCTGATCAAGGGCTAGGAATGGATACGGAGGAGAAAGTATTTTATGATATTTATTGGGTACTATAGATAGCTTATATATACTATATACGGATGATAGGATGATAGGAAATTTATAAACTATAATTATCTCATTACTTACATAGTAAGATCCTAACCTAATTATATCGAAATATTCTCTAAGATCTAAATCTACTACTCTTTCTCTGCCATATAGTTTGCTCAACTTGCTTATTATAGCGCGTATCGCAGACAAATTTAACACCGAATGATGCATCGTGGAGGTCCTTATGAAAGCAAGTACGTTCTGTAGTTTAATTAATTCCTGTGAAATGGAGTCTACGTTGTCGCTTAGTATTATTAGTACCTGAGCGAGATGTGCATATTTAACTAGGTCGTAATCTCGAGTAACTTCACTTTCGTTAATTTTCTGCATTAAAATCATTATTTTATTTTGATTATCTAGTATGTTGTCAATTACTTTAGAATATTGAGCGGTCCAATTTGTAGAAAGACTAATATGATTATTAAATTCGGTAACTAAATTATTCTCATTATCCTGAAGGGATTTAAGTACTTGATTATAGTGCATTGCATCGGTATAATCAAGGTTTCCTGTAACGCTCTTTATTATGGAACCAAGACCATCTACCAGTCCTCTTTTAACACGGTTTAACTCAAATGTCTCTAATTGACTTAAAACAGCATCAAGCTTATTTCTAAGGTAACTTAGATGTGGTTCAAATAAGGAGTTAGTTTTATTGTGTAGTTCAGTGGAGATACTATCTAACTGAAAATTAACTAAATTTATCCTGTCTCTCAACTCTTGGAAGTTGATGTGTTGCAGAAAGGAATGATAGTGAGAAATTATCCTTGCGGGTCCTTATTATTTCTTGCGTTAGAACTGTTTGTAGGAGGAGGTGGAGGATCAGGAACGTCCTGCAACAATTGGGCTGTTTTAGGGACTCTCTTAAGCCTAGTTTTGGCAATTGGACCTCGTTTATTCTTAGTATAAATGTGAATAGGGAGGTCAGCCATTACTATGTCGTGAGTGTACCGGGGTGCTACTTTCTGGCGAGAAGCAAATGGATTTTTAACAAAAATCTGTTGTTCAGGAGAGTATTCAATTTCAGGCTCCCGGCTTTTATTTCGGATGTCAGTGAGTTTTTTACGAGATGCATTAGAGAGTTCATGTATGGTGTTGTATGCTAGGGTCATTTTGTCTTTGTGGTTAACCATATATTGTTGTAGTAATTGAGAGGAAACGTTCACGTCAAAGGGGTCGCGGGGATCAAAGTGTCCAGTTATTACTTCAATAGGTTTACATTTGGTGAAACTGTGAATACTACTGTTATAAGCCAAAAGGGCGTAAGGCATTAAATTGATAACAGATTCTGACTTTTGACCCAGTTTTAAAATACGGAGATGTTCTAGTATAGTAGAGTGAAATGTCTCAACGATTCCGTTTTCATTAGGTGCGTGAGGAGCTACCCTATGGTGATGCATTTTATGGAGCCTTACAAATTCTGAAATAAGCTGATTAGTGAATTCTGTGCCGTTATCAGTGACTATAGTGACGGGTATGCTATGATGCGTGCAAAAATTAAGCAGTGCCTGAACTACGCTAACAGCAGTTCCGTCTCGCAAGTGATAAGCTTGTGCGTATTTAGAAAATGAGTCTACGATGGTCAGATATTTTTCGATTTGGATGGTCAGTAAATCTAAATGGACTAATTCAAAGGGCCTTGTTGGTGGAACAATTTTGAATTGCTGTTTTATGGGATTTCGGTCATATTTCGCTTGCCCACATACTGTACATTCATTTATGAACTTAGTGATGTTCTCACGCATTCTCGGCCAGTAATATTTGTGAGATAAGGCTAAAAAGGTCTCATTGATGCCTCGATGGTTTGTCTTGCCATCGTGGTATTTATTAATTATCTCCTGTTGCCTGAGATATTCACGGACGTTCTCGAGTTCGTTTGTAGTTAGTGTTAAGTTCTTGGATGAATTTTTAAAGGTTCTTTGAATTATAGGTATAATTGAGTACATAGCTAATCGGGGGTTAATTAATAAGCCGGTCTTTATTTTAGGGTGTACATATTCTTTTATGGCGTTAATGACGTCCTCTTCTAAATTG